CGTGACCAAGAAGAACAATAACGTCGTCTATCATTTTATTTTTAGATCATATGTTACTAATTTTATGCTTTATTATAGTCCATGTATGTTGATATACTTATTCCATGATAATTATATGTTTATCCTTTTGTGTGATGTAAATTAAATGCTGAATGGCGGTTCATGCAGGGAAAGAACATATCAATATTCGCATATTCATTCAAAAACATGAAAATTCTTAATGGCGTACCCTCATTTCTTATTGAATTCTTAAAAAACAATATTTATAATGAATTTTAATAATTTTTTCGGATTTTTTTTAAGCTTTATTCTGACCGATTCACCCGATTTCCGATCCAGATCGCCGATTCACCGATCCGGATAGGTTTTTTGGAAACCCGATCAAGGTCACTGATCCGTTTTTTAAACCATTGGTTCAAATTTAAAAAAGAAGGTGTCAAATCAAGTAATTAATAAAATATAATAGTATAGGTTGCATGTCAAATCAATTAATTATGGTTCCCGACTCATAAGTAAAAATGTGGCCCCCTTGATAATTTATTTTTAAAATAAATTTTGAACCTTGATTTTTATTGAATATATAAAATAATAATAAATAAATAAATAAAATGATATTTTTTAAAAAGAAATATTTGGGCCTTTGATTTTTTCTTGGGACCATAGGTTTATGCCTCAGGATACACAAATATAGAAATGTGTCTCCAGACACATGAATTGGACAAGGGGTTATTTAGCATGGCCTGCATGGTAATAGAATTTGTGAGAAAAAAAATAGAAGGTATCACTGGCAGCAATATACTTAACTTTCTCAAGAGGCAACACATGTACTGTGATAAAAAGAACAGTGTATTATTCATAATGGATAAAATGTAGGCATTCAGTATGTAGTGCATTAACGTGCTGCCGTTGTAACAAAAAGTGGTAAGGATATTAATACGTACTCGGGTGTATTCTATTTCACTAAATCACCTAATATTTGTCAAAAATCTCATCATTTTTTTTATATTTATTATGAAGTATGACTAATTACCATTTTATTTTATTTTTTCTTAACTGTAATTCAGCCGTAGGAATCAAAGTTGAGGTATAATGTTGCTAAACATTAGCTACTAATCATTCAAGCCCAAGCCTGGTTTTAATATTTAAAAGAAAAAAAAAGCTAACTCTTAATCTATTTGAAAAGACAGGCAGAGATATTATCCACAACTGAAATACCGAGAAGAAAAAAGAAAAAAAAAGAAAAAAAGAAAAGAAAAGAAGGGATAGGCTACCAACCAATCTGTTAATGCGGTTGTTGGCAAAACCTTGGGCCTCAGATCGTGGGTTTTAAAACCAGGCCAATGAGGCGGCGCTCCGTAATTGTAGCTCTATCTTTTCCAAAAAGATTTTCTACTTCCTTAAAGAGTATGTTGTCCATTTAATCCCTTAGGTAAAATTCATTGTAGGAGCTATTTTAGTATCCCTAATTTTGGGGCTGTAACCTCTTCCATTCACGTACTAACCTCAATATTTTTTTATTTTTTTTATTTTTTATTTTTTTGCAAATAACTATCTGTATGCCCTTAAAAAAAAGTGGTATCGATATTAAATTGAGGCCATTCAATTTTTGGAAGGTGACATCTAAATGTTAACAAACTCAAAATTTAATTTCTTTTGTATGAAAATAATCACCTAATGACTCTTACCGGATTCGTAAAATTTTCAGATTGAAACAATCCTTCTTAGTAGGTCTTTGGACTAAGGGAGTAGAAGTATAGTATGCTACCGAGGGAGCATACTATAGATGCTCCATTTATTATAGTTGTCATGTCCGAGGCATCAAGATATGAAACACCTGAAGTGGCGTCGATAGATCCTGGATTAGATACGTGCACTAGTTTTAGCACTCAAAATACTTTCTTTTTTTTTATAGGCACTTGAAATTGAAAATGGACGCTTTAAATAATAATTTTCAGGTCTAAAGAGAGCAAACCGTATTTTAATATTTATTTTAGGGCCGTACGTAAATCGCTCTTTAATATATTCCCCTTTCCACTCCAACAGAAAGTGGAGCTAACTAAAATTCGATTCCCCTTTCAAGATCTTTAAATAGTTCATCACAAATACATTACATTAGTACATAAGTTGCATTCATAGACTTAAAATTGATTCCTCATGTGTTTTAAGGATTCTCATCTTCCCACTGTATTAAAATTAATTCTTTCTCCTTTTATTGGAAAGATTGGGAATCAATTCTGCAACCGAGGGATCCAAGTCACTAGCATACAAAGCATTTATTCAGTTTTTCAAATCACCCCCAATAAAAAGCATCACAACAAAAACACCAGAGAATATAGGTAGCTTCCATCCAAAAAAACTTGGGATGAACTGGCTGCTCAGCCATACACCATATGCCAAAAGCAGGCACGAATTCTCGGCTCGTGAAAGCATATACACACCGCTCTACATACGAGTGAAAAACATCGAACAAGCAATACGGATGCGTATATACAATGCGCTATGCGGTCTCTAACATCACAAAATACCAATACATTGCAATAAGTCGAATAGGAGGTACATAGCACACAAAGTTCAACTGCTGTACAGCATAAGCAGTACATTAGAACAGAAAGCACCAATCCCAGAGCAACTAAACCTCTAAATCAAAGCACTAACAGTATAGAAACTGTAGTACATGGTAAATCCTACACTAACATGCAGTATGTATAGCGAACACAAACTTGTAGAAACGAAGGGTATTATTATGCGATGGCGTTACGCTGATTTGGTGTTTAGGTCGAAGGAGTCTCCAAATGGTGGTTGTTGTCAACATCCTCGAGGGGTCGGAACCATGCCTGTTGGTGGAGCACCGAGTCAGGAGTGGAGGTAGAGGAGGAGGAGGCAGTAGCGGCCACCTCCTTGGGAATGGGGCTAAAAACGCCAGTGGAGGGATGTGGGGACCAGTATTTGTCAGACTCAGGCGCGATCACCTCATCGGGCACAGTGGAAGGGAGCACATGATCGTCCAAGTTCTTATCGTACACCGGGGTGTGGATCGCCCTCCTGTAAGAGTTGGTTACGTTGTTAGTGGATGGTCTTTTTCTTTTTTTTTTCTTTTTTTTTTTTTTTGGCAAATTATTGCTAGCTTAGCTTATGAAGAAACAGTTAAAACGAAACTGACCAGGACCATAAAGGATGGGCCACATTAGTAAGGCTGAGGTCCAAGGTTAGCAATTTGATACGACAATGAACTAATTTGATTTGTTAGAGTGAGAAGTACACCATGATTTTTATTACCATGGTAAATCTAAGATTATTAGTATAATCACCGTTCAATCAATGGATAGATGCTCAGTGACATAGAGAGCATCGGACCAGTAAAATATCATCGTCATCCAAGCTTTATCTTTTTTTTTTTTAAATCGGATACAGGAATCTTGTTCCATCCTGCTGGTCTATCAAAAGGCCATGCCCCTTATCACTATTTTCACCAATGTGCCTTGCTCATGAAGTATTTGCCATAGATTGTTTGGGTCATGGTATTATACTATCCCTTGTAAGAGAGAGTAAGAGAAGAGATCGGTAATGTAACTTCTCTCACACATCCTCGACAAAATATAAACTCTCCTTTTCTCAGTATATAAACGTACGACTCGGAGACGGGGAATCGGCCGATTCCTGATCAAGGTTGGGTCTTAGTAAGCCAAAAATGGTTGAAAAAAAAAAAACTAAAAAAACAGAAAAATATTTTTACAATAGAGTTAAACAAAACACGTCTAAATGAAGTAAAAAACAAAAAACAACGAAAAAATTGGATTTGGGAAAATTCAATTTGTGATGAAGGTACTTCTAAAATAATATAAAAAGAAAATAAAATGTAAAAGTTAAGTATGGATACCGTTTGTATAGAATGGACACTCTAAACAATCAAAATAAAGCACATCTTCAAATAGGGTTGAGAAATGTGGCTTCAATACTGGAACCTTTGTGATAACCTTAAAAAATATTTTCATCTCTAATTATAAAATTTAATGCTTAAAAAATAGTGTAGATCAAGAAAATATATAAAAGCTTGAAAACTTTAAAAATTGACAGTCCAAAAATGCATTATAAGATGCACTATATCCAAAACTTGAAATCCATTTTTTTTTCTTTTATATCCATATATCTTGAGATCGGATCTTTTTAGGGATATTTGTATATCAAAACAACTTCTTGTAATGAAATTTTGAGATACACTCTAATTTGATTGTTTAAAACCTCACACTAATATAAACTTTTTCCAATAAGTACTCATGGCCAAACACTTCCCGATCTTTGTCAAAATGATAAATTTTTTATTTTGTACATTTTTTATAATGTTTTTTTAAATTCTTTTTTAAGATCCCTGAGTTGAACCATCCAAACTCGAGGATACTTGAGCTCACCAAAGTGGCGAGCCCGAGTCAGTCGAGCATATTACACCGCTCTATCTTCTAAAAAAACATAAAACAAAAAATAAATAACCCAAGACCAACAAAATACATATGTTGTACCCATCCGGATACCCCTAATCCCGGACCAAAAACATCTACGCCTCTCTCTCCAAAACGGCCAAAATGGCAAATGCCCCCACCTAAAATATCATGTCTTTTTTTTTGTTTTTTTTATCCAATTTTGCGCCTCCATTTGACGTTTTGGGCATATAGCTACTGATCTATCCACAAGGTAAAACGTATAAATACTACAAATACATAAATATCAAAAGCAAATTCATAAATATCAAGGTTTGAAAATTTGACGATCCCAATGAAATTTGCCGATGGAGATCCGGATTCCCCTAATTGGGATTCAGACGATTTACCTTATGAACCCGCGATTTTTAGTGTGCGAATAGGTGATTTCATATAGTGAATCGCCGAGTCCGTTTCCTGTGCCAATGAGTACTTTTGCTCATGGGTGGTTCCTCTTTGGATGCTTTTTTTCCCTCAAATTTTGAAACCTTTTTTAGTGTTTTTCAATGCATTATCGAAGGAAATGAATTTGTATTGGCTATAAAACCATGATCTACATTTGAAAAATCTATCTGAAATTTTTCATGTTGAATTTTAGGGCGATTTTCTCTTAAGTCTAAAAAACACCAAATAGATGATTTTAGCCTCAATTTAGAATCATTTTGTGTCAAATTTTATGTTGCTTGAAGAAAATCGAGTTCTTCACATGATCGTTGAGTTCATTAGTTCGACTACACAAAGATTTGTGGTCGATTTTGCTTAAAAAATTTTACATGAAATGCGTGATGGGGATCCAAATTTGAACAACCCAATTGATAATCAGGTCGATTTCAATCAAATTAATGTATGCTTTTTTATCTCCATAGCTTCATTTCTCAAATCAAACCGGTAGGATTCATTTACCATTTCGCATTTTTTTATACGAAATGGGATGAATGTCAGGGTTCTGCCATTTCCATGACATCTACCTCAATTTTTTAATCAAAATTCTTAAAACTTGATTCAAAATGTCCATAATGAGCTTATATCTTATTATGGCTCTAATTTAGTAGATCTAAACAGAAAAGGTCAAGAATTTTCGCCATGTACATCTTGATTTAAGAGTTTTCTGAATAATTATTTTTTTAATTATCTTCTGAATAAAATTAGGAATTTTGATGAATATGTGTTCTTGATACATACAGTATGAGAATAAATATTTCTTTAAAAAAAATTCGTAATTATCTTCAAATTTATCTCATAAATTTGTAATTTTTAGGGAAAAAACTCATATTTTTCATTTTTATATTTATTTTTTAATGCTATAAAATCCAAACTTGTTGCAGTATTTTTTTATTTTAATGACTTAATCTGATAATATGGTAATAATATTTTTATTATCATTTTGTTAATCAGATTTTTTATGCAATATTATTCTGATTCTTTAAATGTTATAAAGTATATTTGTTCACCAAAATTTGTTTCACACAGGCCGGACCACGTGACTATATATGCAATTAGGTGTTCCATCTAAAAACGATACAAACTATCGGTCCAAATCATTTCTTACTATAATTATTATTTTTAGATTTAAATTTACTTATTTATTCTATATATGCGGGCTTGGCCGCATGGAAATCGGTCCTTTGTTCATTAATGCGCAATCGTGTGCTACATTTATAGAAAACAAGCATATCTATAGCCACTTAAGTTCTTGATTTTTATGCAAGTAAAAAATATATTCCTTCTATCTTGTAGACAATATATTTCAGTGATATGAATGAATGGGGTAGAGGGCCTTCTTCCCCACTGACTTGTCCAATACAAAAAATGATATGATCTCTCAATATTCAGGTATTTTTTATAAAAATAATAAAAATACAAAAAATAATGAAAATATATAATACGCTATTCCTGATTCTTTTAAAAACTAAAAGACCGCTATTTTTAAGAACTTGTGGTGATTTTTTGAATATTTTTTTGGCTGATCGGGCCAATTCTCGAAATCCAAACAGCCAATCCACCAATGCAACACAGTTTATCAGTTGGCCGATCAAGTCACCAATTCATTTTTTTAAACCTTGCTAAATCCTAATAATATAAATTACTCCAAGTAAATGCTACGGAAAATGAAACAGCATTAGGTTGAAAAAAATACGAAGAAAGCACATGAATACCTCTGTTTCTTCCAACACACCACCAAAAAGGCAAGGAAATCATGATGGCAGGCACATATGGCCAAGTTATAACAAATGCTAGAAATATAAAAGGTTGCATTAAATAATATATGAAAATAAAATTTTGGATTAAAACAAGGGAAACACTTTTCAACTGTTCTAACTCATTCTTATGCATATTTTGATGGTATTTTTAAATTATAAAACCGTCCCCAAATAGTTGGGGAAAAGTTGCGATGATGATGATGATGATAATGAGTTATTATATTTTGATAATTTCCTTTGAAACAATTTTTTTAGAATAAATTCATTTTAAAAAACAAAAAAAAATCACAAACCCAAGAAATAAAAATAAAAATAAAGCTACATGATCGAAAAAGCGGATATAAATGAGCATAAAAGAAAGGGGAAAATAGTACCCCATTAATTTGCTCTATACAGAGAGAAAACATGAAAGCTAACTGTTCTTTTTTCAGGAGAAAAAATAAGAAAGCTATGTCGCAAAAAACCGGAGAAAGATGATGGGAACAAATAAATAAATTCATTAATGACAGTTTCATGGAGACAATGAGCTGCGTAATGTTAATGATCTGAGACACCATACAAGAGAAAATGAAAAAAAATGCAGATAGATGTGAAGAAAAACTTAATCAATAAATAGAAGAAATCACAGAAGCATTAAAAAACCAGAACAAAAGAGTACTCTAGGTTAGAGAGAGAAGTTGTGAGAAGCCATAGCAACGACCATCACAAGCAATTTTAGAGAGAGAGAGAGAGAGTACCTGAGAGGAATAACGGATCTGCAGATCTGGGTGAAACTCCTCTGCAAAGGGGAACTGGCGGCCATGCAAGAAGGTGGAGTATGCTCTCAGAAAATGCTTTTCCTGTGATCTCTCTCTCTCTCGGAGAGGAACAAGGGGAATGAATATGTGCGCTTTTCTCTCACTAGAGATTGTGAGGAGAGAGAGGCCTTTGACACTACCTCCTAGAGAGAGAAACAATGGTGATAGCCTCAGTGGCAATGGTCTTATCGCCAATGCATTTATAGGATAAGAAACAAAACACGGTACCCACGAATCTCTTGAAATGGACTGAATCACTCCTTTAACATCTCTGAAATGCCAGTGTACCCACAAATCTCTTGAAATGGACGAAATCACTCCTTCAACATTTCTGAAATGCCAGTGACCCTCTCACTCATAGAACCATGACAAAATCAGCAATTAGGGCTAAGCAAACATTTGGGCATGGGACGGGGCCGGCCCTTGCCCTTGCCCTTGCCCTTGCCCTCTCAAGCCCATACTGGGTCCCTATAGGGCTAGCCTTTTTTTGGCCCCACCTGAACTGGGGCACATCTATGTCCGATTGGGCTAGGCAAAATAAAAAATTTTAAAAAACAAAAGAAAAATATAGCGTTAACCTAGAGGTGGCCCGGCTAAAGCTTTGCTTGCCCTATCCTTCGAGTGGGCTGTCCTTATTTTCTTGGGTTATAATTGCCTAGTCTGATGCCAGTCCTATTAGCATTAGACCTCCTTCAAAGTATGGTAGCAACAGATTGATCTAATAATCCCATGAAGATGCTGAGAAACATTGGATACGAAGGAAAAGGAGGCCTAGAGAAGGATCAGCTTAGTACTTTCAAGGGCAAAATGAACCTTGCACTACACGTTCGGAATCAGCCAGTTCTAGATGAGAAACCATCGAAGAGAAGTTGTCCGCAAACCGCCTGCTACCAAGTCCATAGGGGCTTTTGGTTGGAACTCATAAAAAATCAAGAAAGCACTTCTATTGGTCGACGAATATGTGCTTGGATGGACTCATATTTTTGGTTAGACCAGCAGGTTCACCTACCACATGAGGGATCTAGGGCATTAGAGGCATTTTGCTGTTAATTTTGGGTAGTAGGATAATATTTCCATTGAAAGTTAGATAAGATTCAATCCTCAAGACGCCGTGCAAACGTCCTCGCCCCTTTTTCAACAAAGGGCATTTTGGTCATTTACGTCTTTTAAAAGGCTTGGGAAAAGCAAAGGGTAGTGATTATATCTCTAATTTTCAAAAGGTATTTTGGTCATTTTCTTTCCCAATGATAAGGGCATATTTGTTATTTTACAATTCTATGTTGGACAGAAGCGTCCGGCGAAAAAGAGACATGGACTCACCAACCCGCAACGCATGACTGCCGTACGACTGCGGCCTCCCCCAAACGGTCCCTTTGATGACTGGGACTCGACTGTTCGATTGTACGGCGCCACATGTCGACGGCATTGTTGACGTGGTTGAAAAGTATATCGGACGACGTGACGGAGTTTACGGGCAGGTCTTTGAAATTACGGACTAACGATAAGATCGTACTATTAATTACGGTATGGGGAGGAGTGTGGAACGGGATTTGGCTTTTTGTCTTTGACTAAATCACCCTCCATTTGAAGCTGAAATTTCTAGAATAGTGTTGGCTTCCTTTCGGAAAATAATAGTGCACGGTTCCAATGAAAAAGTTCGTAAGTTTGTATAAAGCCGAGGTTTTAAACAATCAAATTAGAGTTAACCTGGAAATTTTCACTAGAAGAGGTTGTTTTGATGCTCAAGTATCTTCAAATTGATCATCCGGGTATCAAAATGCATGGACATGAGAAAAAATTTGATTTCAAATTTTGGAAATAGTGCATCTTGTAACGTATTTTTTGACCGTTAATTTTCAAGTTCTTCAAGTTTTTAGAGATCTACTCGATCTACATTATTTTTGAAGCTTTAAATTTTATAATTAAATATAAAAGCATAATTTAAGGCTATTACAAATATTTTCAATATTGAAACCACATTTCTCGATATTATTTGAATGTGCGTTGTACTTTGATTGTTTGGAGCTTCGGCTCTATACAAACCGCATTGTTCCCATGAGTCTCAGGACGCATAGGTAGACATGTATAGGGTTGGCGATAGAACAGGTAGCCCGCCCATCCTGGTCGTCCCAGTCTTGTTCTAAAAAATTAGGGCATGAGTCATAAATTGTAGGCTGAGGGCCAGGGGAGAGGGCAGGAGCAGCCGAGCTTGCGCTTGGTTTTATAGTTTTTCATCTTTTTTTCCTTAATTTGTTTTCCTTTAATTTTACCCAGCCTGCCGTAACCTTTTATGACAGGCTGGGCTAGTCCTTAAAGCCGAGCTAGGCTTTGTGATAATAGAGCCAAGCCTATCCCGGGCCATTGCCAACCCTTTGTGTCCTTTCATTGTGAATTTTTTATTTTTATGATTTTTTATCTAAGTTTATAGAGATATACAATATCCGATATGAAGATGGTTAATATGTTAAAAAAATAAAAGAAAAATATAAAATGAGACCATTTATCTTTAGTTCAAGGTGAGACATGAATCTTGACAATTGAATGTGAAATTATATGGCTACAATTATTCTATTAACTAAGTTCAAACTTCAAATGAAATTTTCTCAAACTTTGTGATACATCCAAGTTATCAAACTTCACATCAGATGATTATAAGTAATTGTGACCACCTTGCATCAAAAATAAATAGTCTCGTTGTATACAATCCCAAAAATAAATTTAAAAAGAGTAAAAATGTTAGGCTTGTAAAGAAAATCTTTGGACCATTTGCTTTTATTTTTGTCTGAGGGACCACCACTTCCATCTATCTTAAAGATGCATGTTTCATACCTAGGGGGACTAGAATTGTTTCCCGAGACGCATGAAACATTTTTTATATAATTGAAAGGGGAAACGATGTGTACAATCTTGAATGCTGTAGCCACTACGGAAAGGAAAATAGTTAAAATAGGGCTGAGGATTTATGGAAGAACGTAAAGCCTCACCTCGAAATGTCCGAAATCCTTTAAATCGATCATCTCATCAGTGCGTTAGTAAAAAAAAATTCAACCCTAAAAATAGGGTATGTTGTAATATATTATCTAAGACTATCCCTTTTCAATCGTACACATATGTATAAGATCTATATCATTTTTTTGAGGTTTAAATTTTATTAATAAAGTCATTTAAATGATTTCCAAAGCTTGAAGTGTTATTTGGACAAGATTTCAAATTGAGACTTTACTTTTTCTTTTTCTTTTCTTTTTTTTTCATGAGCCCAAGGACTTATAGAAACTACATTTTATAGGAAAAAGGTTGAAATTAGGCCAATGCTTTATGGGAGAAAGTAAATCCATCTATTGTTCATTCTTAAGAAGTACCATGCATATGAGCTGTTGGAACCTGTTTCCGGTTTTGAGATGAATTGGCCAAGCTGGTGACCAAAGCATATTTAAAAAAGAAAAAATAAATTACAATAACTTCAAATATTTAAAATATAGAAACAAGGTTTAGGATTTCATGTGATCCTTCTTTCTTTCTTTTTTGACAAAAGGAATTTCACTTGATCCATTAGACAATGGTTTTATAATAAAAAATAAATATTATTTATAGGCATTGTATACTATGAGACTATTTATTTTTTCGTACAAAGAAGTCACAATCACTTTTACCTATTGGATGTGAAATCTAATAGATGAAAATGTGTTGGGATATTAATGTTAAAAAAAAAATGCATTGAAATATTTGAGATATTTTGGTTTGAACTTTATGTCTAAACAATTACACATCTTCAACCACCCAATTTCAAACATAACAGTTAATGATGATTATGACCTATTTACATTAAAAATAAATATTTTCATTGTATGTTTTTTCTTATTTGTATAACCTAATTCTTTAATCAAAAAGTGACTCGGACCAATGGTAACTAGTCCCAAACCGTCTAAGGTTGTTCTGAATCGCACCAAGATCATCCTGAATCAAACCGATTATTTAAACCATACTATGAAGTCCAAACTATAAAAAAGGAGAGGATAATGAGATCAATCTCCATGGAGATCTGAGCCATCAGCAGTTCCTCAATGTCCAATGTGGGCCCCACATAGTCTCTTCTCCCCATTCACGGGATCTAAAAGCACGAGTGGACCCCGCAACAAGCAATGTGCAATTATCTGCATCATCTGCCACTCCGCCATTGAATATGGGCATCTCTCACTTTATCTCCACCATCACAGCAGATTAACGGTAAATATTCGATCTAAATGATGCGGTCCCAACTCCCACCCGCTGTGCATCATCTCCTCCGTCATTCGAGATACGGCCGGCACATAAATCAACGTACCTGATCTCATACGACGCAGCATATGCAGAAGTAAAATGCCAAAACTTTTGCTAAGAAGCTGAGCCCACACGCTGCGGCCGTTGCGTATAAGGGCAGTTAGACGCGTGCATGGATAGGTTCATGGGAACTTCACACCCAAACCACCTAAACAAATATAACGGATTCTCTCCGTCTCTCTCTCTCTCCCTCTCTCTGGAAATTCATGCAGAGTCGGTGTAGGAAAAAAGGAAACGGCTCACCAGACATAGGGCAAGAGTCGGTTAGTCTTGAGGGTTAAAAAAGTATTCAAAAATAAAAAAAATTTAAATGTCATAAAATAGAAAATGTGTATTTAAAATATGTTTAAATAAAGCACATCTAAATGAAATTAAAAATTAATTACTTTTTTAAAAAAAAAAAAGACTTTAAAAAATCGATTTGTGCTTTGGAATATTTTTAAAAATTTTCAAAAAAATGGAAAAATGTAAAAATAAGTATTAATGGCCAAAACAATTTTCAATATTTACCAAAATAATGAAAAACATTAAAAAAAATGCATTACAAATAAAAATTTTATATAATTTGTTTGAATTTTTTAAAAAATACTCACCGGAACCTGCCAAAATTGGAACTTGCCAATGACGAACTCCGATCTAACCGAACGGTTGGAATTTGAATCGCTAAATTTTTCCTACACGGTGTAAAGTACATCAGTAGTCACATATTAAGATTGGCAATGAGCCGGGCTTCGGTTAGGCATAATAGAATAAAAAAAAAGGAAAAAAAAAAAATGGAAAATACAAGGTCGGGCAGGGTAAGCCAGCCCCTATCGTGACACCTTGGCCTTGGCCTGCCCTCGGGTTGCGGTGGTCCGGCCCTCAGATCATAATTTAT